AAAGCAAATCTAATATTATAAATTGAAATAGAAATTAAACTATATCAAAGCCCTAGTATGAGAGTTTAGTTCGACATAGTAATTAAATAAAACTCAATTAAACTTGAAAATAATTTCATAATCAAAATGAATAATGAAAAGTAGAAACAAGAATAAGAGTTTAGAGATAAAAACTAGTTAACGAATAATGTGTACGGCTTTCTTAATTCTTTACACAAACTTGAATGCTCGAAATCTTAAAATAAAAAAAAAACTAAGAAAAGAGTAGAACAAAGATCTAAGATCCAAGATTCGATAATAATCTAATTGTTGTAGTGATCTCTCTTTATATAGACTTCATTTGAATCCGAGTAGGAAACTAGCTAGCCTAATTAGGAAGAAATACTATTAAATAGGAAACTGCTTTTGTGTTGTATTTCTTCCCAATTAAAAGTCTTCTTTGATCAATTAGGACTGAAACTTAAACAAGGTAAGTCTTTTATTATTCCCGTGCAGCTCCATGCATAAGCCACGCCCAGGCTGCAAATCTACACGAGCTAAATAATTAAATTCGGCTCAGTTCGAATTTTTAGCTTTTCTTGGTAATACGCCCGTGTACTTTACTGACTTGGTCATGTTGAGCTTTTAACTCCATTTTTTAGTTCCACATTCTTTGATGCGAATTTTGGCTATTTTCCTATTAAAAACTCTTCAAATCAAGCTTATCAAGAGGCAAGAAAACTTAATTAAAAACATAAATAAATCTAAGCAAAAATTAATCAAAGTAATTAAAAATGCTAAAAATCCTAATAAAAAATACACTAAAAATACTATACAAATAATACCTATCAGCTGTAATTATCTTTGGACGACTCTAGTAACAGCACGCGTTGACAACGATTCTAGTAGCCGCACGTGTTGACGACGATTGGATCTCTTATTACTATTACTGTTTGTTCGAAATCTCAAGTGTAAGATGACAATAAATTTTGATTGTCTCTCCAAAACGTATTACTGTGATTATTTATCTTTTTTCCAACAACATTTGATAAGAGTTACTATATATAAGAACATTAGAAGCCCAAGAAGATCTGCTTTCTAGTTCACCAAAATTCAAACAAATAAATCATTCTCCACATGACTTTATGTCACCACCTCCACTTTCAATTTTAAGCTCGTTTAGCCTCTTAACCAATCTATCCAAATATGCATCTGAGCTCTCTCCTTTAATAGCACTCAATGCTACTTCTTGCAGTTTCTTCACTCACTCTCTCCGGCTAAGTTTCCTCCACTAACTCAGCCAATTTCAGAGCCAACTTATCTACCTTATGAATGTCCTTAGTCCCTTCACCAACTTGAATCCCCACCTGCAACTCATCAATCAATACTTGCGTGTTAGTGAATTGATCTACACCCATTGGCCACCCCAGTTGTGGTCGTTTCAAGGACCAAATTAATATTGTATTATATATCAGTTTATTGAATTAATTAGTTGAAATTTTTATTAGTGGAACTAATAAAATAATTATTTAGTCCCTGAGGTATGATGAAATTATCTAAATAACCCTTTCGTTTTTAATAAGTATTCAGTTCATCCCTGACGTTTGAATCCGTCGATTTAAATAGTCCCTCCGTCGAATTTTCTTGATTTTTTCCATCAAGTCATAAGGAAAGGATGAGAATACCCCCTAAGCAATATCAAAGCCACACGCCCATTCTCTCCCTCTCCTCCATGGTCCCTCTCTCCTATCTCTTCAAAGAAAGTGGAGAAGTGGCTTGAGAGTGGAAATTTCTAGTGGGATCTCACCAGAGAAGTCATCGCCAGCAATGTAAAGAAGCTGGAGGTTGGTACAGTTTATGAGACGTAAAACAGTACCGGTAGCGGTAAAAGAAACATTGTGCTTGCATATGATGTGGTACCCCGTATCATTCACGCTTGTAAACATCTGCTTGAAAATTAGAGAAAAATAAGGTAGTTGAGCTTGTGGGTTCAATAGCTATTGCAATCTAGATAATGGCCACAGACCAAATAGCAAATGTCCGCAGTTGGGTCTGTAAGGAATCGATAATAATTTTAAACTTTTAATCAAGATTGGCAAAATATATCAGGACATAAATTCCAATTTTCCTCTTCTATTGCCTCCAAATCTCCACCAATATATTGATATCCATCACTTTCTTTGTCCTTTGCAAACTAACGTAGCTTCCAACCCCTTTTATTAGGAAATTGTTGAAGACAAAAGGAAAAGGAAAGAAGCAGTAGTATTCGAAGGATTTATTAGCTCATTAAGGGTACTTTAGTCATTTTAAAGTTGTCTCTCACCATTCACTACATCTTTCTTCTCACTTAATGAAAAAAAAAATAGATGGAGGGACTATTTAGAGTGATGGTTGCAAACGTCAAAGACCCGTTGAATATTTGTCCAAAATGAAGGGACTACTTAAATAATTTTGTCATACCTTAGGGACTAAATAATCATTATTTCTTAATTTAAAATCAATTAAATTAAAAATTAGAATGGCCAATTTGTCATGGGTGAGATTGTAGTTGGTTTCATTTGCCACTTAGAGATTAAGATACTTTTATAGGTGGGGCAAGTTGGAGATTTTACTATTTTAATGGGCGGGGATTAGATTTTTTTTTTATCCAGTTGAATTTTAAGTAAAGACGAGGATCTAAACTGTTTGGCAAGATCAGGGTGGATATACCCTACTCTTAACTTGTCCTGTTACCATTCTGAAAATTTATGAAAAAAATGGTAAGTGATAGTCTAAAAAATGTGATAGTTTAAAGAAAAATGGGATTACTTTGATTATATTTGATAGTTTCAAGTGGCATTAACCTCTTTCAGGAGAGGATCCCTTCCTTACATACAAGGTATGGGTGCTAGGTAGGTTACGCAAATGGTAAGGAGAAATATTCGGTCACTATCTCCTATATCAAGCCCATATCCCCTTTCTGTTTGTTTGAGTTATTATATGGTCCTAAAATCTCGTTAAGATTGATGTCTATCAGATGTCCCCCCCAAAAGGTATGATGACATTCATGTCAAAGCCTTTAGTTTTTGAGATATATGTTCGCTACTTTGACGATTAGCTATCGGGTCTAGAAAAGGGGATGCTCGAGTCTCGCACAATCTTAAGTTTTACTCTTGGGTGTGGCTTGGTGCCTAAGTAGGACACAAACCATTTGAGAAAGGCCTAATGCGGGCTTTCCCTTTTTGTTAGAAGAGGTGTTTGGGCCAAAATTTAGCCTATTTTAGGTTAGGGATCTTGGTTTATGAGCTTAAGCTGTCAAATAGCAGTTAGCCATGGAGTAAGATGTGACATAATCGTCGCTTTGATGGCGATCATTTTTGCATTTCAAAAGGTGACTCCTCATTTGTTGTGGCGTTTCAGTTCCCAGTGACGGTTCATGGGATTTCTCTTGCTATATAAGGTCATTGCCTTCTTGCTTTGGAGTTTTTCTTGATAACTTCCTAGTTTACTTTTTAAACATATGTTTTACCTCCACAACAACTTCTATATATGATTCAGGTAATATTCACTACTTTTCCATTGAGGTTAACCGCATGTTCTTTATTTTTTATTTCCTCCCATTATGAACTCTAGTCATCAGTCTAAAGGTAAGGCCCCTGCCGAGTCCTCTAGGCACGAGGATGACCAAATGGAATTGGAAGTAGATAATCTTATTCTGGGGGTGGTGGATTCTGAGTCAGATTTCGAGGATGAAATTGACTTGATTAGGAGGAGGCTACAAGAAATTTCCCCTTTTATTAGGCGAGGTGATTCATCCTTTGCCACTCACTCCCACTCTGTCCCTCCTATTCCCCAATTGTGGGATGAGACTAATCCCGAGCAATAGGAGGACAAGGACTATTCCCACTCACCCTCGCCAAGGGAATACTTATGCTCGCCCACGTCAAGGGAATCCATCTACTCGCCCTTATCAAGAAAACATGAGGGTTCGAGGTTTGAGATCCATATTGTCCCAGCATAATTTGGAGGGTATTCACATACTTTATCTTATTCTTGAGGAATACAGAATTAGGATTCCTCCGTCAGAAATGAGGGCGAATGCCAAATTAGATTAGAAGAACTTGATTGCATACATGGAGGGTTACCAGGGGGGGCGTGTGATTCCCTATTCAGGTGATTATCTCCTCCTTTTACAATGAGTGGGGGGTAACTGTTAGCCAGATTACTCCAAACAACATATGTATGATATTGGGGGCTGAAATCCTAGCTCAGCTATAAGGTTTTGAGCTCAACGTACATCAATTTAATTTTGTTTAGAGAGGGGTTGAGGACCACCCTCACCTTACTGCTCGGAAGAATTACAGTTTGTTTCCCTTGAAGAGCTTGTCCATAAAAGGAAGGTGGAAGGAGAAGTACTTTTTTATTAGTCATTCTCAGGGTTTAGGATACCTTCCAATTGGAGCCGAGGGGCTCCTCAGTTGAGGCTTCCTTGGGTCCTGACCACTGTTGAGGCTAGGCAGGTCAAAGCCTTGAAGCGTTATGCCCTGAATCCTCCTCCCAATGTTCCTTTACTGGATGCTAAAATCGCATTGGGTCTAAAAACTCGTGTTTCAAAGATGAGGGGCCTACAGGAAACTGGGGGTGAGTTAGGTCCTAATTGTTCACCTCTTATTCCATTACTGAATTTTCTTTTAACTTATTTCTTTTTTTGTATAAATGGGCCCAAAATTGTCCAAGGAGATGAAAGTGTGTTTGGCGGCGGATCGAGACCAATTAATTGCCACTCGGTTTGGGCAGAGCCTTGGGAAGGCTCGAGAACCCACGCTCTAGCCTAAGGCGCTCTGAGGTGACGGTTATAGTGTCTCCCGTGGTCGAGCTACCAGCATCCGATCCCCTGAGTATGACGGCGTTTGACCCCACCAGTTGCTCTTCCTGCTGGCTAGAAAACTATTGTGCTAAAGAGAAAAAACAAAAGGCAGTGAGGTGGTGACGATGAGCCTCACTCTCTAATCTCTGAGAAGGGGCTTCAGTTACAGATCGTGATGAGAACAAAGTATGGGAAGGATGCCTCGGTTAGCAGCGGCCAAGTCGCTTGGGCTCTGGCTACCCAATGTGCTCTTCCTGCCGACTTGGTTCGACTAGAGGGCCTGAAGGAGGAATCATTTCTTGATCAGATCGATAGTGGGCTTCTAATGGTATTTCCTCTTATACTTCTTATTGTTTCGTGCTTTTCTCTTCCCTTTCTCATCTCGCTTATGTATTGCGTTCTTTTGTGGTTCTGTCTATTCCAATTGGTGAGTGCCCATAATGATACCCGTCGCCGCATAAATGAATCGCGGGAGCTGGTCACTACTTTGACCAAGGACTTAAAGGTCGAAAAGTCCAAAGTTGAAAAGTTGAAGAACTCTATCCAAACCCAAGCGTTGGAGCATAGCTGCTTTGTGGGAAAATTGGAGGACAAGATCCAATCTATCTCCAAGGATAGGGACACACATATTGACTCCTCCCTTAAGCTTATTGATCGGGTGGAGCAATTGATTAAGCAAGAGGAAGAATGCATTGCCGCCATCCAACAACTCTGAGCTGACCTTGCCCGAGCTGAGGATACTGCCTCTATAGTCACCCGCTCGGTTAACAACATGTTATTGCATCAGTCGAATCTCATTATGGCTGAGCTTCAATCTAGGTTTCTTGATAAGGATTGGAGCTTTATTAGCTAGATTGATGCATATCAGAACTTAGATGATGAGGAGGAAGTGGTTGCGGAGGCTGGAAACTTGAGTGAGGGTGTGCAAGATCTTGCTATGGTTGCGCCCTTAGGCTATAATCCATGGATAAATAGGGCCGAGATGCTACATAATAGATCATGCAGAATTATTATTAGAGGTATAGATCGCACCATGGACTGAGCAGTGGAAACCAGTATCAAAAAATTTCTTACTCTTTACATATGGTCACATACAAATATATACATGATAACACACAGTAAAAATATATCTTTTACTTGATGGACCATATAGAGTACAAGCTCCCTTAATACATGTATACAAAACTGAGGAGGTGACATATGCAGACACAACTGATCCCGACCTTAATTCTATTTCTGCCAGTCTGAACATATAAAAATCTGACTACTAATGCGTCCTAAAGCCAAAATCTGGAGAAACATTAGCATTTTATATGAAATGTCACTTAGTGAGTAAAAATCATCATAAATGATTTTTTGAAATAACATAGCATATCATGAGTATCTCAAATAAAACATATAGTGCACTCCCAATAATCTAAATATCTCTAACTCCTCGCACCACCAATGCCCGGCATCAATAATTATCAGATAATAATAGTCATTTATTAAATCATTTACAGCAATAGTATGAAGATATCACATCATTTCATTTGACAAAAAACCAAAAGATTCATCCAAATAATAATAATAATAATAATAATTTATCAAATATGATTTATCTTATTAATATTAAAAGTAAAGTTACAAAAAAGCTTTTAACAACACTGGTTAATTTTCTATTTGAACAGGTAGCTAGCACATGTAATTTGATAGAACTTCAAATGTGTAATCTTGCAAAAATTTTAAATTATTATTTCGTCTAATTATTTGATATGGTAAATAAATGTTAAATGTTTCAAGTTATAATATAATTATTTTTCTAAAAAACAAATCTGTAAAAAATAAAAAGAATTTTCCACAAATTAAAACATTTGTTCATGCTTTCCAAAGTCAACAAGTCAACTCCTGGCTCTTCCAGGCACTGGGATGTATGTCCATCCATCCATCCTCATTATGATATTCTCTTCTTCCTTCCCACTGATCTTATTCTCCTCCGTTTCCATCTCTCTAACAAAAAAATAAAAAAATGTCGAATAAAGCAACTCTCCTCATTTCCCTTTTCACTTCCATCCTTCCGCTGTCCGTAATATTCTACTTCAAGCCTTTCTTTTCCTCTCATCACCGATTCTTTCAAAGCCTCTTTCACTCTTTAACCATAACGGATTCAACGGCGCCATTTCCTTCACCAAAATCCACCATCACCACCGTCATGGGCCGAGATCAACAAATCTCAGCCAACCCGTGGCTAAATTTGACGAAAACGACGTCGTAGTATTGACAGACAAGAATTTTAGCGATTTCGTTAATCAGAATCAATATGTGATGCTAAAATTCTATGCGCTATGGTGTTATTGGAGTCGCAAACTGGCACCGGAGTATGCGGCGGCGGCCACCATGGTTAAGGGTAGTAATAAAGCTGTTCTTGCAAAAATTGATGCTACTCATGAATTGGAGTTGGCAAGGAAGTTCAAGATTCATGGGTATTCTACTATGTATTTCTTGGCCGGTGGAGTTCAGAAAATTCCTTATTATGGAGAAAGAACTAGGTGAATTTATTTCCTTCTCTATTGACAAAGATTTCAATTTACAAGAATTCAAATCTTGATTTTTGTTTTTGTTTTTCTGGTGTAATGAAATCTTGATTGTTTAATTCATGAATATGCATCGATCATTAATTAAACTCCCAAAATTTGTAAATTTTATTCTAATTTGAAATTTTAATTCAATCTCATCTAGATTAAAATTGGAAGAAAAATTGTAGTGCTATTTTTACCAAATGCATTTATGTTATTTAACTTAAAAACTTTAATTCAGTGATATTCAAACTTTCATAAGCAACTATTGTGTCCATGGTTATCTTTTACATTTAAATCATTTTCACATTTTTTAACTATCCAGTAAATATTGGATCAATCTAATTTTATCAGTTAAAATATTTAATAGAATGATTTTATAAATTAAAATATTTAATATGTGTAATTTTATAAATTGAGGTATTCAATGAGCCAAAATAAAAGTTGAGGGTCGAGGGTGTCATTACATTCTTCTTATAAAGTTTTAAGTAACAATTTATGCATTTGACCATATTATATTAATTAATTAGAAAGTAAGAAGGTCATATTAGCACTTTAGCATTTATTAAATTATTACTTTAATTTTTAGATTTTAAATTTTGTTAATTTAATCATTATTCAGATATGAGTACGGTTTAGTTTCAAATCAGAACATTTAAAAAAACGCAATCCTTAGTTTCAGACTAAAATAAAAATCGTGTGGTTTAATTTTGGTTTGAAACTGTGAAAAAAGAAATTAGAAATTGCATTTGTGAAATGTGAATTGGGTGCATTACACACTTTTATTGCACCCAACCCTTTAGCAAGTGACCGTTGCGCACTTTTTTTTTCCAATATTACTGGTTATTACTAGTATTTTAATTATTTATTCATGCTATATATAAAACAAAAACAAACTGGAAAAAGCTGTTTGGTTTCTAAATCAAACATGATGGAACCGAGACCTGCAATTTCATATATGTGGTCATGCCTAATTACTTAATTAATATTATTATGCAAAAAATTCACAAAATTTAAGACTTGTTGGACTATGGCTGAAATTTAAGGACCAAATTAATAATATTTTTCTTACAATTTTAACTTAGGATAAATTGAAATTAAAAGTTTTCAGATTAGGGTAATCAATACATTTATTTATTTATTTTTGAAATGGAATTAACACATTTTTATTTGACCTGCAGGGACGCTGTTGCAAGTTGGGTGAATCAGAAAATAAATAATGTTGTTCAAAATTTGACAACAAGGGAGGAAGCAAAATATATATTAAGAGAAAAATCATTAATAGTTTTGGGATTTCTTGAAAATCTTGAGGTATTTTACAATTCATAGCAGGTTTTTTTCGCGTGTAACCACACTCAGTAGTCTAATCTTCCACAACATTGGCAGGTTCAAGATAGCAAGGAGCTTGCAGCTGTCTCAGAAATGCACTTTGATGTCAACTTCTATCAAACCTCCAATGGTGATGTTGCAAAGTTATTCCACATTGACGAGCAAATCAAACGCCCTGCTCTTGTCATCCTGAAAAAAGAGGACAGAGATCATATTCATTTTGGTTATGGTTAGTTTCATCAATCTATTTATATATATGTCTGTAAGACCTATTTTATTCGAGGTACAACGTAAATTTCACATGTTCTTGTCATAAAAATGGAACTTTAATGTCAATCAGACTTAGTTTGAGTTTGAAGCATTCAAATTGACCCTTCGCCTTACATACTCTTCTATTCTTCTTACAGAAGGTGAATTCACCAGATCATCAATAGCTGACTTTGTTTCTACATACAAGCTTCCTTCATTGATCACTTTCACTCCAGAAGATGCTACAAATATTTTTGAGAATCCTATGAAAAAAGTAAGATTTTTATGTCAATTTTTTCCTAACAATAGAAATTTTTATTGATTACATTAACATTTCTATTATTTCGCTGTCATCTGCGGCTTTTTACTGGTCAACGATCATCGGATGTTAAATCTGTATTCAAAGAGGCAGCAAATGCTTTCCCAGGAAAGGTCATTACAGATTTTTATTCTTATTAATTAGTTAATAGTTATAGCTCTGTGTCAATATATGCATCGTTACATAAAAAATCGAAAGCTCAAATGGAGTTTAGTAATATGAGCTTGTCACCAAGAGGGACATTAGAACGGGTGATTATAATTATAAAAGAAATTCAAAACATATAGTTGATATGACTTATAATTTGTGTGATTTCAAATTTGTACCTGTGGATACTCGTTTTGGAGGTTATTTTGGAAGACGCCGTGCTTATGAATTTGGCATTCCCTGATGATTCTGATAGTGCCCCAACAGTCCTACACACCATTCTTCTTCTGCAGCAGCTGCACGAATTACAAAATAAAATTAATTACACAAAGCAAACATAAAATTCCATTATGCAGATTGTAGATTATCACACAGAAAATGGTGCTGCCAAGAAACAATATATCGTGATGAATTGACCTTGACTGTTATTAAGGTGTACCTTAGTTATTTTCTCCTCTCATTATATTGCAACGCACTCGAGAATTCTCCAATTTGTCCTTGAATATATATATAAAATTAATTACAACAAAGCAAAACATAAAATTCCATTATGTAGATTGTAGATTATCACACAGAAAACTGTGCTGGCCAAGAAACAATATAATCGTGATGAATTGACCTTGATTTGTTTATTAAGGTGTACCTTAGATTATGTTTCTCCTCTCATTATATTGCAGAACGGCACTCGAGAAATTCTTCCAATTTTGTCCTTGAATATATTATTATATATATTATATATATATATATATTATAATATTCTATATATATATATCATACGGTGTTTTGTTCTATGTGGGTGTAGTCATTTGCAGAGGAGTTCCTGGAAGGCAAGTTTCCAAGCAAATCAGGTTTGCAAAAGAAGACAGTAATTAGACTTCCAATGGATTTCATACCTCTGATGGAAGTTCAGTTCCACAAGCATATTAGTCATAACAACTGCTAATGGAAGCACTATAACTTCAGTGAACTTGTTGTGATCAAGTATAAGAGAGTCCTCTTCTTGTAATAACAATAATTCCGTTTCTTTCTTATACTCAAATTAATATATATGATATGATATAAATTAGCAAAATATTGTATATGGATATTTTTATAATCATGTGTAATTAACTGTAAGAGAGCGCTCTTCTTGTAATAACAATTATAGCATTCTTCTTAATTACACTCAAATACTTGTGATAGAAATATTGTACAGGATATAAGGTTTTTGCTTTCTTTCTAATCAACTCTGATATAAGAATGGAAATGAGTCGAAACATAGTTGAACTCCATTTTTTAAATAATCGAACTTCAATATTATTGTCAAACTGAATTTGTAAAAGTCTTTAAGTTTAGGAGCCAAAATAAGATCATGTGTAGTTTTAGATAAGCTGAATCTAATATCTGAAATATAATAAAAAGTTTATTTCATATCCTTAAAAGATAAAGAACTATGATTCTTAAAAAATGATAAAAAAATTCAAAAAAAAAAAAAAAAAAAAAAAAAAAAAAAAAAAAAAAAAGAAGTTTTGTAAGACTATTATGCATAAAACAAAAAAAAAAAAAAAAAAAAAAAAAAGAGTTGTAAGACTATTATGCATAAAACAATGAAATTTCTCTTCATATTTTAACATGTAAACAATCAAAAGCCATCATAGTTTTACAATTTTTAATTCAACTTATTAATAGAAAACTCAAGATAACCATAATTTTGCATATTTATTTTTCATTTCGACATATCCTTAACCAAATTGAATTAAAAAGTAAAAATATATGCATAAATAAAAAGAAAAAACCAAATTTTAATTGCCAAAATTCAACATTTACAAAAAAAATAGTCATCTTTTACAAAATATTATAAAATATTTGCAATTCCACCTATTATTTTGTAATCCATTAATTTTATGAAATTAGCCACATTTTCAAAATATTTAAAAATATTATAAAATATTGATACTCGAGTTTTTATTATTTTATAAACCATCAAATTTAAAAATTGACCTTTTACATAATATTTAAAAATATTATAAAATATTGAGAACTAAAGCTATTATTTTATAAACATCTAACTTTTTAGAAAAAAAAAATTGAAAACATTAAAAATTTTAGCAATCGGAGCTACTGTTTTATAACCCATCAACTTCTAAAAAAAAGAGCTCATTTTTTATAAAATATTAGCAATTAGATTCGACAATTTAAAAAAAGACAGCCATTGTTTACAAATTATTAGGAAGTGTTTTACAAAATATTAATGACTAAAAATATTATTTTGTAATCTAATAAATTAAAAAAAAAACACTTTTTTACAGATTAATAGAAAATATTACAAAATATCAAAAATTGGAATTATTATTATTTAACACTATAATTAATTAATTAAGGTGTTTCTTAAACTTTGTGTAGAAGTGGCATGGACAAACATTTCCGGAGATGAGTATTTTTTTTTTTCGTTAAAATATTGGACTTTGTTACAAACATTTCTTTCTGCTTTCCAAAGTCAAGTCAACTCCGTGCTCTTCCAGGCACTTGAATGTCCATCCATCCATTCATCTTCATATTATATTCTCTTCTTCCTTCCCACTGATCTATTCTCCTCTGTTTCCATCTCTCTCCAACTAAAAAACAATGTCGAAAAAAGCAACTCTCCTCATTTCCCTTTTCACTTCAGTCTTTCTGCTCTCCGTAATCTTCTACTTCAAGCCTCCCTCTTTCCTCTCATCAACAATTCTTACAAAACCTCTTTCACTCTTTAACCACAATCGAGTCAACGACGCCGTTTCCTCCACCAACATCCACCATCACCACCGTCATGGGCTGAGATCAGCAAAGTTCAGCCGAGCAGCGGCTACATTTAATCAAATCGACGTCGTAGTATTGACAGAGAAGAATTTTAGCGACTTCGTTAATGAGAATCAGTATGTGATGCTGAATTTCTATGCACCTTGGTGTTACTGGAGTCAAAAATTGGCACCAGAGTATGCGGCGGCGGCCACCATGGTTAAGGCTAGTAATAAAGCTGTTCTTGCAAAAATTGATAATAAAGCTGTTCTTGCAAAAATTGATGCTGCTCATGAAACAGAGCTGGCGAGGAAGTTCAAGATTGCAGGGTATCCTACTATGTATTTCTTGGTCGGTGGAGTTCAAAAAATTCTTTATGATTTCACCGAAGAAAGGACTAGGTGAGTTTCCTTTCTTGCTTCTACACAGAGATTTTAATCTGCAAGAATTGAAATATTAATTTTTGAATTCATGAATATGTATTGTTAATTTTAATTAATGATAAGAAAAAATCTAGTCTTTCTTAGTTTTTCTAATTTTATATCAAACTTTTGATTTTTTTCATTTTCATCCTAATTTGAAATTTTAATTTCAATCTTATCCTAGATTAGCATTGAAAGAAAAATATACTCCAGAGTCCTATTTTATTTACTTGTTATTCTTTTTTAGATGTCTCAACATATTTGCAAGATTTTTAAATTTAGACATTTAAATAATTATTTTTCTTATAATAACCTTTATATAATTGTTTATTGAACGAAGGGTTTTCTAGTATCTTAATAAGTTATAAAGGTAAAAAATGATAAAATAATTTTTGTTGACTAAATTCTTAATATTTGTGTTTTATCAAATTATGCAAATAAAATTAGACTTATTATATGATTAATTAGAATATCAAAAAAGTCAAATAAGTGCTTTAACTTATATTAAATTATCATTTAGTCTTTAGATTTCAGATTTTCTTAATTTAGTATTTACTCATTAGTTTTATGGATGCAAAAAATTTAAAACTAATTGACTGTACCGAAACTTAAGGACTAAATTGATAATCTAGCATAAGTTCAAGGGTAAATTAGACATTTCGCCTTTAATTGATAATAACTTTCTTTCAATTGAAATTAGTGTAAAATTACAAAAATTATTGGGTTCTTTTTATCATTCAGCCTTTAGCAGTACATTTTCTTGTTTTTTTTTTTCGAATGTATCAAGACATTGTTACTTACATTGTAGGGAAGCTATTGCAAATTGGGTGAATCAGAAAATAAATGTTGCTGTTCAAAATTTGACAACAATCGAGGAAGCAAAAGATATAGTAAGAGCTAAATCAGTAATAGTTTTGGGATTTCTGGAAAATTATGAGGTATTTTAATATTCATTTCATGTTGTTTTTTTTTTTTGTTTGATTCATTTCTAATGTTGTTTTTTTTTTCTTTAGTTTGGGGGGGGGGGGGGGCGCTGACACTCATCATATATAAATCGTTCATTCATTTTAATACTCTTAAAGGCTTATTGAAAGGGGGGGGGGGGGGGGGGGCGCTGACACTCATATATATAAATCAGTTCATTCATTTTATACTAGGTTATTGAAAGGGCTAATCATAATTAGAAACAAAATTGATTGATTAATACCATTAAAGATTTATAGATTAAGCTTTGTGACTTTATAATGGAAAAAGAAATGACATTTGCTCATTTTGTTATTACTATCATTAGTCATTCAGATATTCTCATCTTCCACAAAATTGACAGGGTCAAGATAGTAAGGAGCTTGCAGCTGTCTCAAAAATGCACATTGATGTCAACTTCTATCAAACCTCCAATGGTGATGTTGCCAAGTTATTCCACATTGACGAGCAAATCAAACGCCCTGCTCTTGTCATCCTGAAGAGAGAGGACATAAATCATACTCATTTTGGTTATGGTTAGTTTATCATTCTATAGTTTTAGTGTCAAACAGACTTTTAGCAGTTTACCCTTCACCTTACATACTGTTCTACTTTTCTTACAGAAGGTGAATTCACCAGATCATCAATATCAGACTTTGTTTCTACATACAAGCTTCCTTCAGTGATCACTTTCATTCCAGAGGATGCTACAAATATTTTTGAGAATCCTATGAAGAAAGTAGGATTTTTATGTGAACTTTTTTCTAACATTAGAATTTTTTCTGATTACATTAACATTTCTATTGTTTCGCCGTCAGTTGTGGCTTTTTACTGGTGCAAGATCATGGAATGTTGAATCGATATTCAAGGAGGCAGCAAATGCTTTCAAAGGAAAGGTGATTACAAATGTTCTTATTGCTTTTTCATATAATGCTATCCAAAGAAAATGCATCCAATTAACATTTAAATTTCGTATGTGCTTATTTGCTTTTCAAAAGTTGCAATCATATGCAATTTTCAGTACATCAAAAATTTAAAGCTCAAGCCAAGTTTAGCAGCGTGAGCTTGTCACCAAGCGAGCACTGAAATGTTTATGAATTCGAAATTTGCATTTCTTGTATAACATCTATTAATTAACTTATATATTTGATATGAATTAATCGGTGGGGTTTTAAATGCAGCTTCTTTTTGTTCATGTGGAAACTTGGAATGGAGGTTCTACTGAAAGAAGACTTGCTTGTGAATTTGGCATCCCTGATTGTGATAGTGCCCCAAGAGTGAGTCCTACACACCATTCTTCTTCTGCAACTGCATGAATTACAAGCTGAGTTAATTACACTAAAATTTTCTTGGTGCAGATTGTAGCTTATCACAGAGAAAATGGTGATGCCAAGAAACATATGTATCATGGTGAATTGACCTTATCTGGTATTAAGGTACTTGGGTTATTTTCTCCTCTTGTTATGGTATTTCTTACTATAATTTTGAATTCAACTCAAAATTACAGAATTACTAAGTGAACAATGCGTTAATATATATAACCTGATATTGTGTTCTATGTCGAGGTGTAGTCATTTGCAGAGAAGTTCCTGGAAGGCGAGTTTCCAAGCAAATTAGGTTCAGAAACAAAGACAGGAATTAGACTTCCAATGCATTCCCATGCCTCTGATGCAAGTTCAGTTCCACATGCATATTAGTCATAACAACTGCAAATGGGAGGAAGCAATAAAACTTAAGTGAACTTGTCGTGTGATTAAGTATAAGAGAGTACTCTTCTTAATAACAATAGTAGCCTTTCTTATGCTCAAATATGTATGATATAAATTGTGTATGGGATATTTTCAGGGGATTTTGCTGTCTGGACTCCCAATATAAGGGTGTAAGGGCGTAAATAAGGGAGCCACTCGAGCTTGATTTTCAAAATTTATCAAACTTTAAACTCTTTAATAGTAAGCTGAACCGAATTTGAATATTATGATTGCGATTTTAACTGAATATGTATATGTTATAGAATTTTGAATATTCAAACCCATATTTTTTTTCTATATGTTTAAGTTGTTTTATGGTCCTAAAATCTCGGTAAGATCGGTGTCTATTAGTAAATTTTGTAGGAAGTTAAAGAAAATAGTTTATTAGAATCTGATTTTTTTTCTATTATTTTTAATTTCTTAATTTTATAAAGGAAAATTCAATTCTTGGAGATGAGATTTTATTAGCTTAACCTTTTTTTTTTTTTTTTGTAATTATATCATTCATTGACTTTTTCCATAATAAGACAATAATGCATTCTTTTGTTTTTTTTTTACAAAAAAGAAAACAATTCATTCGATAATCACATTGTCCGGCTTTGCTTGTTCAGGCATTTGGCGAATATGCGCCACATTGTATCTGCCAATGTTGTAAACTTGTAATTAGGGGCTGTTTCTGGTGGGTCTGGGTAAGTTTGAAATACAATAATCGAATCAAATCTAAAGGGGTGGTTTGAAAAATATTAAATTCAAATTAAATTATAAAAAAATTCAAATCAAACTAAATTTTTAGTGGCGGTTTGGTTTGGTTTGATTCGATTCGGCGATTTGAAATAAGAAAAATTAAACTTCCTCATTTATCTAATTAATAAAAAAAAAAGATTAACATTACATGAAATATGAAAAATGAATTAATAAAAATTATGCCATAAAATACACATGATTTTAAATAACTATTAAAATTTTTTAAATTAATTTAATTAATAAAAATTATGCCATAAAATACACATGATTTTAAATAACTATTAAAATTTTTTAAATTAATTTTTTATATGTATATTCTTAATATAGTACAAAAAATGTTATATATTCAATAAGATAATAATTAAGCAAATTATAAATATAGAATTTTAATTTTAATTTAATTACATCTATCACTAAAAATTATAAAAAAATATAGTTTTACACGCATATAGCTTGTACATATATATTAATCTAATTTTATATGAATTTTTAACATTTGAATATTTTATAAAATAATATATAATTTATCTAATTAACGAAAAATTATTATTTAATTATTATCTAATATAGCTAATCTCATAATTTACTATCCAATATAAATTAATCAATACAAATCAAATTACTATCCAATATAAATTAATCAATACAAATCAAATTTTCATTCAAAAAAATTGAATTGAATTTAAACACACACACACATATATATATATATATAACAGTTTGGTTCGATTTGGGCAATTTTGACTCTAAAATCGTAAATTGAACCAAAAATTCGGTTTTTAAATTTTATAAAATCAAACCAAATGATTAATTTTTAAAATCACAATTTTGAATCGATTTAGATTGGTTTGGATTGATTTGGGAGGTTTAAGCAGTTTGACGAACACCTGTACTTGTAGTAATGTCATCAAATTCAACCCTAGAAGTAATTTAATATTTTTATTATTTAAAAAAAAAACAAAAGATTCATCCAAATAATAATAATAATAATAATTTATCAAATATGATTTATCTTATTAATATCAAAAGTAAAGTTATAAAAAAATTTTTAACAACACTGGTTAATTTTCTATTTCCACACTTAGCTAGCACATATAATTTGATAGAATTTCAAATGTGTAATCTTGTAAAAATTTTAAATTATTATTTCGTCCAATTATTTGATATGGTAAATAAATGTTAAATGTTTCAAGCTATAATATAATTATTTTTCTAAAAAATAAATCTGTAAAAAATAAAAAAGAATTTTCCACAAATTAAAACATTTGTTCATGCTTTCCAAAGTCAACAAGTCAACTCCTTGCTCTTCCAAGCACTGGGATGTCCATCCATCCATCCATCCTCATTATGATATTCTAATAAAGCAACTCTCCTCATTTCCCTTTTCACTTCAATCCTTCCGCTGTCCATAATATTCTACTTCAAGCCTTTCTCTTTCCTCTCATCACCAATTCTTTCAAAGCCTCTTTCACTCTTTAACCACAACGGAATCAACGGCGCCATTTCCTTCACCAAAATCCACCATCACCACCGTCATGGACCGAGGTCAACAAATCTCAGCCAACCAGTGGGTCAATTTGACGAAAACGACGTCGTAGTATTGACAGACAAGAATTTTAGCGATTTCGTTAATCAGAATAAATATGTGATGCTAAAATTCCATGCGCCATGGTGTTATTGGAGTCGCAAACTGGCACCAGAGTATGCGGCAGCGGCCACCATGGTTAAGGGTAGTAATAAAGCTGTTCTTGCAAAAATTGATGCTACTCATGAATTGGAGTTGGCAAGGAAGTTCAAGATTCATGGGTATCCTACTATGTATTTCTTGGCCGGTGGAGTTCAGAGAATTCCTTATTATGGAGAAAGGACTAGGTGAATTTATTTCCTTCTCTATTGACAAAGATTTCAATTTACAAGAATACAAATCTTGATTTTTGTTTTTGTTTTTCTGGTGTAATGAAATCTTGATTGTTTAGTTAATGAATATGCATCGATCTTTAATTAAACTCCCAAAATTTGTAAGTTTTATTATAATTTGAAATTTTAATTCAATCTCATCTAGATTGAAATTGGAAGAAAAATTGTACTGCAATTTTTACCAAATGCATTGATGTTATTTAACTTTACAACTTTAATTAAGTGATATTCAAACTTTCATAAGCAACTATTGTGTCTATTCTTATCTTTTATATTTAAAATATCAAATTGATAAATTGTTAATATAATTTTGAGAGCAATCATTTTCACATTTTTCAACTATTTAATAAATATTCGATCAATCTAATTTTATCAGTTAAAATATTTAATAGAATGATTTTATAAGTTAAAATATTTAATAAATGTAATTTTATAAATTGAAATATTAAGTGAGTAAAAATAAAAGTTGAGGGTGTCATTACATTTTTCTTATAAAGTTTTAAGTGCCAATTTGTGCATTGGGCCATATTATTTTAATTAATTAGAAAGTAAGAAGGTCATATTAGCGCTTTAGCATATATTAAATTATTATTTTAATTTTTAGATTTTAGATTTTGTTAATTTAATCATTATTCATATATGAGTACGGTTTAGTTTCAAATCAGAATGTAATAAAAAACGCAATCCTTAGTTTCAGACTAAGATAAAATCGTTTGGGTTAATTTTGGTTTGAAAGCATGAAAAAAAGAAAATAAAAAAATTACATTTGTGAAATGTGAATTGGGTGCATTACACACTTTTGTTGCACCCAACACTTTAGCAAGTGACCGTTGCTGACTTTGTTTTTTTTCCAATATTACTAGTTATTACTAGTATTGTAATTATTTATTCATACTATATATAAAACAAAAAGAAACTGGAAAAAGTTGTTTGGTTCCTAAATCAAACATGATGGAACCGAGACCTGCAATTTCACATATGTGATCATGGCTAATTACTTAATTAGTATGATTATGCACAAAATTCACAAAATTTAAGACTTGTTGGACTATGGCTGAAATTTAAGGACCAAATTAATAATATTTTTCTTATAATTTTAACTTAGGATAAATTGAAAATAAAAGTTTTCAGACTAGGGTAATCAATACATTTATTTATTTATTTTTGAAATGGAATTAACACATTTTTATTTGACCTGCAGGGATGCTATTGCAAGTTGGGTGAATCAGAAAATAAATAATGTTGTTCAAAATTTGACAACAAGTGGGGAAGCAAAAGATATATTAAGAGAAAATCATTAATAGTTTTGGGATTTCTTGAAAATCTTGAGGTATTTTACAATTCATAGCAGGTTTTTTTTGCGTGTAACCACACCCAGTAGTCTAATCTTCCACAACATTGGCAGAGTCAAGATAGTAAGGAGCTTGCAGCTGTCTCAGAAATGCACTTTGATGTCAACTTCTATCAAACCTCCAATGGTGATGTTGCAAAGTTATTCCACATTGACGAGCAATTTAAACGCCCTGCTCTTGTCATCCTGAAAAAAGAGGACAGAGATCATATTCATTTTGGTTATGGTTAGTTTATCATTCTATAGTTTTAGTGTCAAACAGACTTGTAGTAGTTTACCCTTCACCTTGCATACTGTTCTACTCTTCTTACAGAAGGTGAATTCACCAGATCATCAATATCAGACTTTGTTTCTACGTACAAGCTTCCTTCAGTGATCACTTTCACTCCAGAGGATGCTACAAATATATTTGAGAATCCTATGAAGAAAGTAGGTGTTTTATGTGAACTTTTTTCTAACATTAGAAATTTTTTCTGATTACATTAACATTTCTACTGTTTCGCCGTCAGTTGTGGCTTTTTACTGGTGCAAGATCATGGAATGTTGAATCGATATTCAAGGAGGCAGCAAATGCTTTCAAAGGAAAGGTGATTACAAATGTTCTTATTGCTTTTTAATATAATGTTATCCAAAGAAAATGCATCCAATTAACATTTAAATTTCGCATGTCCTTATTTGCTTTTCAAAAGTTGAAATCATATGCAATTTTCAGTACATAAAAAATTTAAAGCTCAAGCCGAGTTTAGCAGCGTGAGCTTGTCACCAAGCGAGCACTGAAATGTTTATGAATTCGAAATTTGCATTTCTTTTATAACATCTATTAATTAACTTATATATTTGATATGAATTAATCGGTGGGGTTTTAAATGCAGCTTCTTTTTGTTCATGTGGAAACTTGGAATGGAGGTTCTACTGAAAGAAGACTTGCTTGTGAATTTGGCATCCCTGATTGTGATAGTGCCCCAAGAGTGAGTCCTACACACCATTCTTCTTCTGCAACTGCATGAATTACAAGCTGAGTTAATTACACTAAAATTTTCTTGGTGCAGATTGTAGCTTATCACACAGAAAATGGTGATGCCGAGAAACATATATATCATGGTGAATTGACCTTATCTGGTATTAAGGTACTTGGGTTATTTTCTCCTCTTGTTATGGTATTTCTTACTATAATTTTGAATTCAACTCAAAATTACAGAATTACTAACTGAGCAATGCGTTAATATATATAACCTGATATTGTGTTCTATGTCGAGGTGTAGTCATTTGCAGAGAAGTTCCTGGAAGGCGAGTTTCCAAGCAAATTAGGTTCAGAAACAAAGACAGGAATTAGACTTCCAATGCATTCCCAAGCCTCTGATGCAAGTTCAGTTCCACATGCATGTTAGTCATAACAACTGCAAATGGGAGGAAGCAATAAAACTTAAGTGAACTTGTGTGATAAGTATAAGAGAGTACTCTTCTTAATAACAATAGTAGCCTTTCTTTCTTATTCTCAAATATGTATGATATAAATTGTGTATGGGATATTTTCAGGGGATTTTGCTGTCCGGACTCCCAATATAAGGGTATAAGGGTGTAAATGAGGGAGCCACTCGAGTTTGATTTTCAAAATTAATCAAATTTTAAGCTCTTTAATAGTAAGCCGAACCGAATTTGAATATTATGATTGCGATTTTAATCGAATATGTATATGTTATGGAATTTTGAATATATATATATATATATATATATCTTACCAGAGTTCTTTGAGAGGGGAGGGAGAATATGGGGTGGGGAGAAGGACACGAATCCTGGCTTGTCATTAATGGGCTATAGCCGAATCCTCATATTTTATTTCTATATCATATGTCACATATCATATGATCTTCAAATATATATATATATATATATATATATATCTTACCAGAGTTCTTTGAGAGGGGAGGGAGAATATGGGGTGGGGAGAAGGACACGAATCCTGGCTTGTCATTAATGGGCTATAGCCGAATCCTCATATTTTATTTCTATATCATATGTCACATATCATATGATCTTCAAATATTAATTTATTAATCTGAGTGAATTCTAATTCATTTGAGAATAATAAATAAATTTTTATAACTTGCAATATAAATCAAATCAAGTTTCAAATTGAGACAAATCCAATTATTGCGTTGACTCTGCTCAATTACACCTAGTTGAATACCTGATCAAATCCTTGCATTCCAAATGTGTTCGAAATTTCCAACAACGATATTATTTCCAAGCAATAAATCCAAATAACAAGAAAACATAAACTAAACATATATCCTTCAAATGTCAACCTTGTTGGACTATCAACGGAACTACCAAAGATACATGCATATACTACATTTTCTTGGAAATGCTTACAAGAAACTACTAATTATCGTTGCTGGAAAATAATTAAACCTATATTTGTTTTTATTTAGTTTTTATATTTATAAACAAAGCCGATGATGATCTTTCCTATGTTATATGATCTTACCCTTTCTTTCTTGTTGTAATACTATATAATATCATAAATTTCCCTGCCTTCATGCCTCGAATCTCCATAGTTTCTCTCCTTTCTTTGTTCTCATGGCAATAATAAACCAAAAGCCATTCTTCTTTCTTCTTCTTTTTCTTCTTTTGCATCGTTACACCTCTTTTGCAAATGCATCATATCCTAAATATGAATCATTATGGTCTTTAATTTTTCTTGACAACAGTAATGATAATAATAATCATAAAACCACTTTTACTGCAGCCGGATTGTCACCCGGACCAGCCCCTGAGCCAACTATAAAACCCACACCCGGCGGTCAGAATCCTCCAAAGTCGCCACCACCTTCTCCAAAGTTGTCACCACCACCTCCATCGCCGCCTCCACCGGGGGCTTTAGTTCCTCCTCCTTCGCCTAGTAATGCAGAACCGGCGCAAGGGAAAGATGGGCTAAGTGGAGGACAAAAGGCAGGGATAGTGATTGGAACTTTAGCAGGGAGTGGATTGTTGGTGTTTGGTGGAATGATTTATAAGAAGAGACGGAGTAATATTAGAAGAGCGAGATTTGGATCGGCAGCGAGGGCATCATTTCTTTGATATAGTTTGGTTCTTCTAGTTCATCGATTCTTGAATTGCAGTTTGGAAGGAAAATACAGTCGAGGACATTTGATGAGATTTTACTAACTAATAATGTGTTAGTATTTTTACTTTTGATAGATAAAAAAATAAAAAAAATTATTGTGTGAGACTATGAAATTCTTATAGCGTATGATCTTAAAATTATTTTTTTTTATCGAAAAAACATGTTATTAGTCTATTTCATAGTACAAAAGTATCTCTCTTGTAAGCTTAATTGTAGGTCTGGATATTTTTACGCCTTGTTTGGGGTAAAATATAGGGTGGGAACTGGGGTAAGAGGAGGGAGAGAAAGTTGTGATAGAAAGTGAGGGTAAATATCATGTAATTTGATCAAATTAACTATTTAGTTTCTAAATTTCAAGACGCAGGTTTCCACTCAGATTCGAATCTACTTGATAAAATTTGGTTAATTTATGAATGGAGTGCGTACAGATATTTATTAATACGATTTAAGCCAATTCAAATTCAATCCGATAAATATTTTTCTCTTTTTTATATAAAAGTAAATTTTTTTTTTAGTGATTTTATGTATGTTAATTTGATATGATCTGACCCTAATCTAAGCCCGACACCATCTAACGTGAGATATGTATCTGATAGTTATTATTTTTTGTTACCGAGTCAAAAATAGATATTATAAATTTCATTGTTTTGAAAATTGGACGAATCGGTTGGTTTGAGTGGTTTAATTGGAAATCGTACTGTCTGATCCAGATTGCATAAAAAAATCAAAATTAAAAATCGGCATAAGCCAGTAAAAATCAGATAAAAGCAGTAAACTGGACCGATTACCAGTTCCATTCAAATTATGGGTTTCTCTAAAAATTATATTAATTAGATAAAAACAAGTGAACAACTGCATAGTATTTCAATAAATTGATACGTAAACATATTTAAGATATACTCATGCGGATCAAACAAATCCCTATGCTTTTGCTAAGTAATTTAAATATTGACCCTTATATATAAAAATAATCATTAAAATGATTTGATGGATTCGAACATATTGACTGTCCATCAGATTTATGCCACTGATAGTGAGCACGGTTCACTTTCTGGCAATTTACATTACTTAGACTCCGTAATCTTTTAGTAGGTTTAATATGATATTTTTCAATTTTTTTTCTCCTATTGAAATGGAGACTTTTACTTCATTTAACATTACTGTCAAAATAATAAAATAAAACAAATAAAATCATCATAAATTAAACAACAAAAACCTTAAAAGAGAGTACGCAAAACTGATCTATTAAAACAATAGATGTTCTTAAAGGAACATATGTTTGAGAATTGTTAAAACATGACTTAAATCAAACAAAATACTTTCTCTGTCCCAAAATATAAGTCATTTAAGGTTTTTACATAAAAATTGAGGATGTAATTAACTTTATTAGATTATAACAAAACTAAATGTAATTTGACTAAATTATCCTTTATTTTAAAATCAATGGTGAAAGTATTTATTGTATCTAGTAAAGATAAGGGTAATATTGAAAAAACATCATTTATAACTTCTTGAAATACTCAAAACGAATTATATTTTGGGACAAAATAATCACCCAAAAATAATTTATATTTTGAAACGAAGAGAGTAATATATATCAAAAAAAAAAAAAAAAAGGGAAAATGGTAATTTATATTTTGAACGAATAATAAGGAGTAATATATTCAAAAAAAAAAAAAAAAAACGGAGAAATCGGTGAACTATTGGTGAGTTTAGTTGTTGATACCCACCTAAAAAGGATAAGGAAGGGTATTAGAACAGAGCAAGGTGGAGAATTAAGGAATGAAAGCCAAGGGCAAGAATTTTTTGCAGGTACATTGCTTAGGCGCCTCTTGTGAGGTCACTCTTGGGGATACTCTCCATTAGAAGGACAAGCCGTTGATTGAGGTCACTCTGGGGCCGGATTACCTCACGGAGACATTTACTTAAGTAAGGCACGGGCCTTACCAGCATTAGTCATTTAGTGACCACTGAATTGCCTTAGGCGGCTTTTGGGGCGCGGGCATTTTGAAAAGGCTGGCCCAAGGGACCCAAACCCGTGCGGGACCTGCGTGGCCCACAAGCGGACAATATGGGTTGAAAAGCCTGGCCCAAGGGACAAAACCGTGCGGGCCTGCGTGGCCCAAAGCGGACAATACCTACCAAGGTGGGCTGACCATGACATGCTTCGCTTCATTTCTTTCGATTAAAGAACATAGGTAAGATACTGAGTATAGAGCTTTGACTGTAAGCTACTCATTATCCGCTATATTAAATAAGTTTGGTCGTGATATCATGGATATCCTACCTGTTACTTGCAAAAAGGATATAGATATTCTATCTATGACTTGCAAAAAGGACATTTTAAAAAAAGAATTCAAATTTGAATATCTTAAAATTTGCAGATATCCTAAATGAGTTTCAAATATATAATAAATTCTAAATAAAGTTGAGTACAACTACTGAAATAGATTTAGAACGGTACAGATAATAAAATTCTATGAATATGGATACAGATATAAGTAGTTCAAAATAGTGAACAAACGGTCGAATTGGTTAAAAATTGAATCGAAATTTAGAAAAGCAAACCAAATTTTTAGGACTAAAATTAAATTGAAAAAAAACGTGGATGTTAGAATCTAATTAAATCGAATCAAACTAACTTTGTTTAGATGGCTTGGTCTATTTTTTTTATTTTTGGCTAGATCTAATCGATTGGATTTTATAAAATCAAGTCCAACTACTTAGAAATTTCAATTTGAGACAAAGTAACTCAAAAACTAAATTTCTTTAAGTAAATCAACCAAACTAAATCGAACAGTTTCTGTTCGGTCTTCAATTTGTTTTAATCTGTCATTTTGCTCAATCCTAATTCAAAATTTGTAGGTACATGTTCCACTACCATCACTAACAAGAAGAAATTAAGGTTGGTGAGATACAGATTAAATAAATATTTTTACATAAAGTTTCAAGTTAAAAATACTTTCTTAAATCAAATAGATTTATTAGTTAAAAAAAATTAAAATTTACTATTTTATTCTTACCGATTGAAAATTTGCCTTTCTATTCACTTAGTGCAAAATGGGGATGAAAAATGATAAAAAGTTTATTTTTGTGTAAATCAGGGGCCAATTTGAATACAGTTTAAAGAAACATGGTGTCTAATTTTGTAATTCAATAAATTTACTGTTCAGTGCCTTTTATGGTTGGTTCAGTTCAAGTTTCTCTCGACCACGCACATATCAACTTCTTCTCGTAAATCTTTGGACCCAACACAACACCGTTTCTTCAGGTGACTCTCTCTCTCTCTCTGCAATATTTCTAGATTTTCTGCTATTCTTTTGCCCATCTTTTTCTCTATTTAGATCACAGTACACGCCGTTGCTTCAGTGATTAATTTTCTTGGATTTTTTCTAGTTATGGGCCACCGAAAATCTTTAGACAATATATAGAGCTTTCTTGATCTTTAGATAGTAATCTTCAATTTCTTGAGCCTATGACACAAATCTGAATTTAAGTTACCATTTTGAATGGAAAATCTTGACGGGTGAGTCCAGATTTAATGGTTTAGTGTTCTACAAATTGGTGGATTTCTGATTGGTGAGACAAGATTATGGGTTAGATCAGTGAGATTTATCAATAGATGAGAGTTTTTTTTATATTTAATGATCAGAATTTAGGAATTTAAATTGTTGTTTGGTAGATTTTATTGTATAGAGAGACTGAAATTGTTGAATTTGGTTACTGTTCTTGTTGATTCATGTCGCTGCCTGACACGAACCAAATTTTAACGACTCTTCCAAGTGGCAATTAGCTTCAGTGTGGATCTATTTAAATATAACTTTTTGAGTGTTAGTTTTGTAGGATATCTGTTTTTCTTTTTCTCAATTCGAAATTCCAACCAAAATTTATGTTCTTCAAGGACAACTGAAACTTCAAAATAATTGAAGTACTAGCATCGAAAGATGATGCGAAGTCATCCTTTTGTGAACTTCCGTTTGCCAAATTTTTTGGTGGTCGTTCACTTTTGCACTTTTTGATCTTGTGTTTGCTATTTTTTTTTTTTTTTTTTTTTTTTTTTATCTGCCTTTATATAATCCTTCCCTACGTGGCGCATACGTGTGTCGTGAGCGTAACCCGTATGCGCTCCTGTGCCTCTGATGACTTTCGCTGACTTCCGTGCCAATTTGGTGGCGTTCACTTTTGCACTTTGATCTTGTCGGATTTTTTTTTTTTTGTTCTTTTTTTCAAAAAACTCCGACTTGATCATATCCTCTGTTGATCCGCGACATTGAATGCATGAAGGATAACTTTTTTCAGGATATATGTATTTTTTTTTTTTTTTTTTGTTCTTTTTTTGGTTATATGATCCGACTTTTGATAAGCTATATCTGTGACTCGTTTCGAACATGAATGCATGAAGGCATAACTTTTTAGATTGTCTGCATTTTCCATTAGGCCTTCTGTCACCCTGCCTTCATGCCCTTGTTTAGGATGGGGGTTGTCAATTTGCCCACGTCCTCAATCTTGCCATTATTTGGTGCTTTAGCTGTCACCTGCAATTTCCCATTTAGGTACTAAAACATTTTTATCTGGAAACCCACATAACAAGCACAAATATTGCTTTTGGCTTTATTCTGCTAAGAAAAGATTCATGGGGGTTGGGGTTTGAGGGGAGGTTTTGTTGGGTACTGAGCTTCCTTTAGTTTATCTGATGTGGAATTTTGGATGCTATGTGTTTAGAGAGTTGTATGCAGGGACACCACTATTCTGTGTAATTCTGTCTTTTAGCCTGGACTGTCCTGATGTTGGGTTGCCTTATAATGTGTGTGATATCTGTTGCTGCTGTTGTTTATGTGCATGGATCCTTACACAAGCAACTTGAATTTGTTACTGGAGGAGTTATCTTTTTCATATTGTCTACTGCTAATTTTCCTTCATACTGATACTTAATGTTTTAGTGTCTCGTTACAATATAATTGAAGAATGGATGCCAATAGGGGTCAGAATGGAATTCAGCTCCTGCTAGCTGCAGAACAGGAAGCTCAGCATATTGTTAATGCTGCCAGAAGTGGTGAGTATTTTCTTTCTTCAGCCCTTTTTGGCAGCTTAGTGAAAATTAAAGCTCTTCTGCGATTCAGTTTAAATCAGCTATCATCCCTTTGCTTCCCTAAGTTTCAATGTATAAAATCTTTGATATTGACATCATCATTTATAAATACACTTGGTAGTTTAAGAAACTATATTATGGATTTGCTAGGGATTGTTTGTTACTATAGCTATTTTTGAGAAAAATGCCATCTTGAATATATTGATTAAATGCAACTAAATATTGTAAGGTATTACTAGATTCGCTATGTTTTCTTTGTAAAAACTTCTAATACTTAAACAACAATTTCAAATTGCTTTTTCAACCGAAAAAAACATTTCCAATTTCAGTGCCAAATAGATTATATTTTGAGTTGTCCCCTCAAGCCCTGATTGTGACAAGTTACTGGCTTCAAGGCTACTTAATCCGTAATGTTAATGTCTTAGGAGAAATTAACTGCAAAACAAGATTATAGTTGTGTCTGCATGCTGCCATGGTGTATAGAAGAGAGCTGGCAGAATAGGCTGGGTTCTAATAAGGTAGTCTTAGGAAGCATCAGTTTTTTAGCCCGTAATATACTTGCTAGCTGCTTTTTATGAATTTTTAACCGTAAAACCCCTCTATATGTCAAACAAGAACTACACAATATATAAACATGCAGAATATGGGTTGAAGGAAAAATTTAGTTTTCAAATGGCCATCAAGGCTCAACCTTTTTAACTGTACGTACCTTCGATAAGTTTACTTTTGATGGAACCAGTTCTTGTTTTAAGTTTGAACAGATTGATCTCCTCAGTTTTTGTTCTTCAAGAAGAAAAAAATGGTTGGTGGTAGTCATCACATTGGTGGAGAGCTTGAATCCTGATGTTAACTTAACCTCCTCCTGTTTCTTTTTCTGTCCAGCAAAAATGGCTAGACTGAAACAAGCCAAGGAAGAGGCTGAGAAAGATATTGCTGAATTTCGAGCTCACGTGGAAGCACAGTTTCAGAGGAAGGTTGCAGAGGTGAGAATGTCAAAATAAAAGCCTCAACATTAATTTGTTCATATCCCTTTTCATTCTCAAGTATCAGCCTATAACTTCAGTTCATGGTGATTCACATCATAATTTCAAGTAAATAGGACATACATTAGAACAGGCATTTTTATGATAAAGTTTTCGTGTTAATGGCCTTATTCTTTTCCTTCGTGATTATCATTTAAATAGTTTTTGACTTTTTTGGCGAATTTTTAGTTGCCATTACAACTCTCTTGCACAGGCATCAAAATTAGATTGTCTGATAGCTACTTTTGCTGCATTGCTATAATATTTACTTAAAAGCTGACTTGAGCCTACTTACAAACCTTAAAACAGAGTAGCGGGGACTCTGGTGCTAATGTGAAGCGGCTGGAGCAAGAAACAGAAACAAAGATTCATCACCTCAAGACAGAGGCTTCAAGAATTTCTCATGATGTTGTACATATGCTTCTGAAGCAAGTGACAACAGTAAAGAACTAGGACTCTTTTCTAAGCTAAGAGGGTAAATGCATTAAATGCTCTCTTTCTGCAAGTACGATTTTGATTCAGATATTGATGTTCTGACTCAGTGAGGTTGCATGCTTTTCAGTTGTTTCTAAAGTATTTGTAATTTGTATTGCTTTGATTATGTTCCTTTATAAAATAAATTACTCATATTTATTATTGCCCCTCCTAGAAACCTAACTTCTTTTGGAGGAGGTCTTGTTTGTTATCCTGTGTAGCAATATTGTATTTTCCTTAAATTACAGTTGTCTTGTTGATTTCTTATAGCTGTGTTTAGTAGCATTGTTTTCTGTAAGAGAGAAGGGATAGTTCAAAGTTGCAGAATTGCAGAATTTATACAGAAAGGGAAAAAAATGCATTTTAGATCCCTTGAACTTTGCATGTTTTCTCTATTGAGCACCTATAGTTTTTATTTGTCTACATTGAGTCCTTCAACTACTATTTTCGTACAGATTAAGGATTTATTTTTTCTTTTTTATTTTTTTCTATCTAACTTCTTGTTTTTCAAACATAATAAAGCAAAGATTTTCTTTTCCTTCCTCACTTCCCTTTTTCATCTTGTAAACATAGTGTAAAGAAATAAGGGCTTGTTTGGTTTGGTTCACTTTAGAATTTGGGAAGGGATCATATTTTCTGAATTAGATTTTGATTTTCCGGTGTGTTCACAAAGAATCTTTTTTTTGTTTTGTTTTTTTGATATTTATATTTGAATAGCTTAAATTTTTATTTTGAAAGATTTAAAGTATAATTCTTTTTAGTTATATAAAAAATAAATTTGACATCTATTTTTCTCTTCTATTACATTTCTGCACTGCTCTGCGATTCCCTGTGGTAGATTGACTCTATCAAATTCAAGACATAAAATGAAGAATATATATACATCTTCAGTAGCAAATTGCAAGATTCTGTATATTGGCAAGGAGCAGGCAGAAAATTGTGGGTTGGTATGAGAATCTACAAGCCTATTGGAGTAGAGAAGGCAATCCCTGATTCTTTTAAAGACAGCTATACATATCAGCTGATAAATTATGACAATTTGTGTATAAATTAATTTGGAGTTAAATGCTATTGGTATTCAATTTTTATAGGTGAAGTGCTGAGAAATCCTGCAATATTTGTTCTACCACTATTCCACAAGCAAAAACACCAAGTCCAACAAGTGCAGGCCTTGCTCTTGATAGCACTTTTTCACTATTGTCTTCTCTTAACTCTCTGTCATGCATAGCCCAGGCCATAGCAGGTGGAAGAACTCCATACAGCATTGTCATGCAGTATCCTCCCTGTTCCAAATTAACAAATCCCTTATAAAAATGACCATCATCTTCAAATAGCTTCATTTATGATATTAACAATAAAAGAAAAATACATAATTGTAAACAATTTCATGGCCGCAAATAATGTTCACTTACAGCAAAATCTGTAGCAGCAGAGAAGGCATCTGGCACTGTGGTTGAGACAAGTAAAGTTGGAGCAATAACTATTGTCATTGCTGTTAAGCTGATTTTATTTCTTCCCCACCAATTTCTCAAACCAAATACCTTATTTGGTTCCTATAATAGTTTTGGAATTGTGTTATACTACTATTAGCAATGTGCTCCAACATATTATTATATGATAGAGTTTAAAAAAAATAAAAAGGAACAGAAAAAGTTGCTACCTGTAATGATATCTGTGTAGTGGATGAAAGATTTTTAAGTTGCTCCTTAAAGAACTCAGAGAAGCCTAACAGAGTGCCAATTAGTGATGTTCCTACTGCCAAAAGTGAAAAGGCCTCTACCAAGTATGACACTCCACTCCATCTCACGCTGGACCAAGAAGTTGAAAAGAATGTAAGGACCTAGTTTTGGCATTTTTGTTGTTAATATCAGTTCTTGGTTCAAAGTTCAAGGACAAATTTCTTTAGAAATAAATAGTAGATGGTGTTCTTTATTTCATCAATTAGTTCGCTTAGGTAATACAAAATTTATTTGAAGTACAAATAATCAAAACCAATCAAAGGTAGATTACTTCAGCTATTGAAATAGTTTGGTTAAATTGACAAAAGTTGTCTTTGAACTCTAAAAATTCATAATTTTAGGGAATTATTATAATGATGTGTAATAGCAATACCAAACAGGATATAGATTACCTCATCAGCAATTCAACAGGATCAACAACTTGATCAGTATGCGCCGAAAGACCAAGAGCAATTGCATCCCAAACAAGCAATATTAACATTGGAACAAGGCTACCAAGAAGAACTGAAGTCCTTAAGCGAGGCAAATCACCACCCAAATAAGCACAAAGGACTGCAAGAAAAATACAATTGCACCACAAACAAAAAAAAAAAAAGCTTTAATTACCCCTAATTATCATAACCTTAATAAAAGTATTCTAAAGCTTCAAATATTCAAGTATATTTGTATATTTACCAGGGGCTAAATCATGATAGACAAGAGAAAATATAATTACAGGAATTGTAGAAGGAACTTTTCCCCAATCACCACTTCCTTCAAATCCTGACCACCCTCCAAATACAACTGCTACCACCTCAATAGCTAGCAGCAAACCTGTTCATCAATTCCCTTATTCTCAGTGTTCACATATATTAACAATATGAACATTTCACAAGAAACTTATGCCTATCATGATGTATGTTGCAGTTATATGGAAATGCCTTACCACACCCTTCTCCAATAGCTTATTATGCTTGTTTGATTGAGTAATTTTTAGTTAAGGTGTGTTACAGTGGACAAACTCCTGCACCCCAAGGGTATAGCAATTTGAGTTAAAAATTATATTGGTGTCATAAGTTATGCCAATTTAAGTTTTACTTCTAAACATGTTTATGTTTTTTAAAATAGCATTTATTGATTAATTAGTTGTGTTCATATTAGATACCTATCATTGAAGCAGTGAGCCATTGATTGACTTGATCAGTAGCTGCAGTGCCGCCAAAAGAAATTAGCAATGAAAAGATTGCAGTGAAAAAGCAGCCTGAGATTGATGCAGGAAGATTGATCAAAAGGGAAAGGAGCTCTCCAGATTTGGAACTATATGCAATCATTGAACTATAACCCAGAAACACATGTCATTGTGGCTAGATTTCCTCCCCAGTCTCCTAATGTCTCTTGAGCCATAGTTCTTATGGATATCACATCTAATTCTCCTTTTTCTTCTTTTTTCTTCTTTTTCCACAAACCCACATTGATTTCAATAAGTAATAGTGCTTCAAGTAAGAGAAAACCCCAACATACAATAATTGATATTGAACTTGGAATAATTCCCTGCAATGTGAAATTATATTGATGAAAATTCCCTTTTCTTTTGTGATCCTTTCTCAATATATGATCAACAAACTTGAATAATATGATCAATAGGTGGGGATAGCTACTTTCCATGTGTATAAATGAGAGAGTGAGAAGAGAATTACAGCAGAAGAAGCTTTCTGAGGGAGAGCAAGTATCCCTGAACCAATAGTTGTACCAATAATAAGAGCAATTGCCCCAACAATGCTTCCTTTATTCTTAGCTACTACCTCAATATTTGGCTTCTCCTCAGTCAATTCCATGGGACCTCTCCTTATTGCCTTTGCTATGAAGGGTCTTTGAACAAGCCATTTCCTTTGATCTTGCTGCTGCCTTTTGCAACCACAGCTGCCATATGAGAAAGAGAATAAATTGAAAAAAAAGATTCATTTATATAATTAAAAAATTTAACATAGAGAATAATAAAGAAAGAGCGAGTGAGTATATTAATTAAATGATTACTTCATACATTTTGTACTTGAAGAAGCAATCTTTTGTGCTTTTTATATGGTGAGAGCATTCTGCCCATGGTGGAAATAGCTTGCAATATTTCTGGGTTTTGGGATACAAGGAAGGAGATGAAGGCCTGCACTGAAAATCCATATGGGTTTGAGAGAGAAAGAGCTATGAAATGTATGGACAACAGATTGAAGCTTAGTTCCCAAAAATCTTGGAAGTGGACCATTCTATAAGAATTTGATTGGTTAATCAGTCCATAAGTTGCTTTGCGACCATCACAAGATATGTTGTGGAACAGAACTGAGGACTCTGTTTAGCTAAAGGCCTAAAGCCTAAGCCCATTTTCATTTTTCTGAAAATATATCAGATGCAGTGGACCATATTTTTGAAAATGTGTAATTGAGTTGAAAAGTTTAGGGCCCTTTCTCTCCTGAGTTTTCTGACCATGTCTTCAGTTGCCTAGTCAATGCCACCAACCTCTGCTCAATAAAATAAGATTTCCATTTTCTTTTTTTAACAGAACCTAATTTAGGAAAAATGAATTTTGGGCTTCACAGGATATTTTTACTGGGTATAATCAAATAATAATGGAGTGCGATGGTACTTCTAGGGAGAAAAAACAAAATTAAACATCGTAGATGGTACGAAATCCGACCAAGATCATGATCTAACCAAAATGAAAATTTTGGAGGATGGAGTAATCAACTTCTTGTATAAGGATCTGAATCAGTGAATTTTCACTTATATACATGAAGTTAAAATATCATTGTAGAATGAATTTATATAAATTCCTTATATGGAGAACAAAATCGGTGAAATTTTGTTTTGTTTCTATAAAAATTTCACATCCTATTGCTAAAATTAAACCAAAACAAGAAAAAAAATCTGAAATATGTTAGCATATATCAAAATAATTAGAAAAATTCATGTATGGTTAAAAATATTAATTCGTTCAGTCTGTTTAGTCAATTTTTTATTTTGAATTAAGTTTAAAAAATTGAATTTGACTATTTTTTATAATCAAACCAAACCATAAGAGTATTAAACCCTTTTTTTTTTTTTTTTGATTAATTTTTTGCAGCCCTAAATTGTGGAGCATAGGGAGGATTGTGACTAAACCAACATGAAGCAAGAAGAGATGAGATTTATTGAACAGGGGAGACCTGTTTAACTCTTCAAGGTGGCTTTTGTTTTGCTGTCCCCTCCCAACATTTTACATTAGCCCATTCCCTGCTCACCAAGTGCCAAAAATGCAATTACAAAAACTTTTCACACGTGCATCTAGATTTTTTTTTTCTTTGAGATTTTTTTTAAATAAAATAAAATAGTAGATTCTTACTTATGTGTAGAAAAACAAAAAGAAAAAAAAATTTCGTCTTAATATTCACTTTTTATGACAGAAGCTATTTTTGAAAATGTGTTACAAATTTAAATTTTAATTGAAATTTAATTAATAAAAATATGTAATTTTTTTTTTATGTTCTCTAAAGAAAATTTTATTTTGAAATTAACTGTGACAT